GGGGGGCAGGTTAAAAGTGATAAGTTTTTTTTTCTTTCTTTCCTTGTAGTTTGTATTTTTTTTTTTATTTTACAATCTTCTTAATGAAAATTAATAGATTTACGCACTATATGAATGTGACTTCCACACACTTTATCCACGTAAGATAAGTTATCGCCACATAAGTATAGTCAATGATCAAAGGTGCTAATTAATAATTATTCGGTCAAGTGGGAGTGTTCAAATAGAAAAATGGAGAGTTCATATATGGACTTTAAAATTAGGTGCAAGTTTAAGGAACTAGGAGGCTATTTGGCCTTAAGTATATAACTAACAAGTCATGCCAAGTTTAAGAGGTATCTAAGGATTTGGCCATTTTGGAAACTTCAGTGCACATCATACAAATGGGCTAACTTAATCAGTGGAGGTACCAAAAATCTAGGGGAGTTTCTAATTTTTCTTTTCTCAAGGGTAATCCAGGTTTAAGATGAAGCTGAGAAACAAAATGACGCAAAACCAGCATTGGCACCCTCCAATTTGTATTATTTTATTAATTTTTTTTATCAATTAACAATTTAAAATTTACTTTTTCATTGCTATATCAATTATTTCTTAAAATGAAATTTTATCTAAGACTAGTGAATTTGTCCGCGCTTCGTGCGGTTTAAAATATGATAAAATAATTAATGTTAAATTTTATGAAAAGTTAATCTTTACTAATTAATTAAATGCGTTATTACATGAGGTGAGGAAGAACACTTCTCTTGTTTCTCTTGACAAAATTTGATCAATGATAAATTAAACAAACCTACAAGAGAAAGCTACAATTTACAAACTCATGGTCCAGAGCTAGGTCATGCAGCAAAGTTTGCCTAAGAGATATATTATTAATCAATATGACTTAAAAATTCATGTCTCATCCCTTGTATTCACAAGATAAAGGTACATGTTCTATAAAAGTGAAAGCAAATATTGAAATTACTTTCGAGTAAAGACGATTAAAGTTATATTAATATTTGATCCTCCACCTTTCATTGGGAAAAAAAAAATTCTATCGCCTATACTAATGTTGGCAATAGAATAAAAAAGGCAACTATTTTTCTATATATTTTCAAGCTTCAATACCTCGATTACAAGTATGGCATCATCACTATCATTAGAACTTGAAAGATCAAGCAATTCAACACTACCAAAAGCTATATTGTAATTAAACACGATCTTCTCTATCTAACTTAGACAACAAATATAAAAAAAAATATTGTAATAAATCCTAAAAAAAAAAGTGATCTCATCTTAATTGTTACGCCAGTACTTTAAGAATTGATAATATATCTAAAACATATATAAAAAACTAATGAATTAAAGGAAAAAAGTTAGTTTAAGAAGCCTAAATCGGAGAAAATAAATATATTAGGATGTCCCTGACTTTGCTTGATATGCTTAGTGCATATTCATGAACCGTTAAACTCTTAAGTCTCTAGCCACTTGTTGCTCCTAATGTGATCACCAATTGGATTGGTTTCTCAGAACAAAGTAATTAAGTTTGGTCTAATATCTTAAAAAAAAAGAGTACTTTCAACATATTCAACATATTCACTACAAACATAGAACCTAATTCAACAATTAGATTGTGAAAGCCATTTATAATACACCATCCCCCGAATACTCTCTATTACTCCCTGAATATTTCAATGGCAAATCCATATTTGATTTAGAGAAAAAATAAAGATTATTAATAGTTTATGTAAACTACTTTCGTGAGAATAATTGATGTAGAATTGACATTCATAAGTCATCAAATCCCTTCAAGTTCTAAATTGCAATTACAATTCAGGGAGAGTAATACTAACTACAAAAATGTCCATTAAGATTTCATTATATAAAATAAAACGAGTGAGTAATACCTTATACTGATTATTCCAAGTTTCATGTGACATCTTCTCAATTAACTTCCTTTATCTTATCGCATTTCAAATATTTTTTAAATTAAATTCAATCTAATAATCAATTCAAGGAGGGGGGAAAATGTGGTATATGAACCGGGTTAATCAAGACGATATCTAAATATAGTTAGTATAATTTAACAATGTAATTTCAAAAATCGATAAAAATATATAATTACCTGAAAATAACACAAGATATCCCACAAATTATAACTTTTTTTTAACAGAGAAAGCATTCCTTAAAAATAAGAGCTCTCACTGTAAACTAACAGAGTGAGATAAAAATTTCAACAACAACGTAGGTATATGATGTCAAGAAAAGAGATATGATATTACAACCAGCTGTAATATCTTTATCATTGTACATATAAGCATGCAAAGTCTTATCATTTATTTCTGATATGGCCTCACAAGTTGTTGTCGTCGGGAGTTTATAGGCTATGTTGAAAGATATATTCCTCAAGATGTGAGGCTCGTGCTTTTTGATCAACTTTATATCCTTTCAGGAGTGAGGAATGGCATGCTACTCAGATTTGAGTGGCCTTCTACCCCTACAGTTTCTCTATAGGGTTACATGGTAAACAAACTTTCTCCGCAGCTTGTTCAGAAATTTTTCAGCAGATAGACTACACGTTGGACTTACAACTTATTTATGATGATTTTTAATTTCACTTAGTAATATTATTATTTATATTATCAAGGTTTAATTCAAATTAATAAGATGTTAGCTATATGTTTGCTATACATTACCTTGGATCTTATTGTAAGAAATTTAATTTGTTAATATGAAGATTCGAGTAGTTTAATTCAAAGTTGTAAAATATTTCTTATGTTAAAAAGTAGACATTCTTTGTTGTTTTTTTTTCTTCTGTTTTACACTACTTTTTCTACCAATTTCAATATTGTCTAAATAAAAAATTTTGGGGCCTAAAGCAAAGGCTTTAATAATGAACCTTCAAATTTATTTATGCAACATGTTTTTGGTATGATATAAGCCGTAGCTGTCCTACCGTGGACTAAAATACATGTACTAATTAGTGCTATCAGGATATACACTATTTCTAAGATTTTTGGATCGTCAATTCCATTCTCAGGCCTCAGCAGATGGATTTACAAACACCCAAATCTTACTTAACAAACTATCTCCCCTGTTTTCTTTGAAAATAAGGAAAAGAAAGAATCCCACCCAAGATCTTAACACCACCATTTAACCCCTCTACACCAGCTCTAAGAATCACGTTATGAGCTATGTTGCCGCCGGCACTGTCGCCGCCGACGAAGATTTTCCTGAAATCTGCGTGGTCAATTAACCATGGTTCTTTTTTAAGTCCTGGGTTTTCAAGAACATGAGCAGTGACCCATTGAAGAGCTGTCCAGGAATCATCGTAAATTACATGCAAAGGATGCTCTGGAGCAAGACTGTACTCTGCAGACACGGTAATAATGTTAGCTTCAGAAACTAAGAGGTTAAGGTAACGCTGGGAGAGGAAAGAGAAAGTGGACCCAACACAAAAGCCGCCGCCGTGATAATACACTAAGATTGGGAGCTTCTGATTAATAGCAGTGGTAATTGAGAGCTTTGGGTGATAAATTCTGGCTTTGAGGTTTGATGAAATGGTGAGGTCTTTGGAGGAAACACCGGTAACGGAGTGTTCCGGTGACGGCGGAACATAGAGCCCGTTTGGCTTAGCTGATTTAGAGTAGCTGATAAATATTAGGTGTTGAAAAACACTTTTAAGTACTGAAACTGATTTAAAAAATAAGCAGTTATGTGTTTGGATAAAAGTGCTGAAATTAATAATATGCACCTGAAGAACTGGGTATACGAAGAGTTTTGTTTTAAAAAGAAGTATTTTAGGGATAAAATAGTAAATATTTTGGTCATACTTAAAGTGTTTATGAGCTGAAATTGATAAGTTGGGGGAGACCAACTTATGACTTTTGACTTATTTTTGGCTTATAAGCACTTAACTTATAAGAACTTTTAATTTTACCAAACGCGTAGATAAGCCAAAAAGTGCTTATAAGCCAGTTTGACCAGCTTATAAGCTTAGCCAAACACTCTCATAAAGTGAAACAAAGAGCAGGGGTGGCCCTATCCCTAAAGCATGTAAAGCAACTGCTTTAGGCCCACATTTGTGGGGCCCCATTTTTTGTTACACCAAATATATTATATACTCCATATGTTTCAATTTACATGAGGTTGTTTGACTCTCCACAAAGTATAAGGAAAAAAAAATTTAAAACTTGTGGTCTTAAAAGCTTAAGAGATAAAAATATTTGCAACTAGTGTGATTTCTGCCAAGGAAATTGCATTTGAAACGAAAATCAAACCCAAACTTCGTAAGAAACGTGTGATATTAAGAAAAAAAATAATTTGACGAGAATATTGATATTAAAATCTTAAAATCTCTCGAAGAGTACTTTAGAGTTTATTACTATATAAACTCCATCTTATTTTAACTTCTGGACACAAACAATAGTTCAGAAACTACCATTTTTATACTCTAAAAAGGCTCTCTCTGCTACTTGTGATCTCTGTTATTCTAGCTGGCTGCAAGCAAGGCTGGCAATTGCCCAATACCTCTCTCACATCTTGTGTTTTATTTCTTTAACTAGGTATGCTTCTAATTAATTTTAAGAATCCAAACCAATGTGTTTATTTACTGCCTTAGTTCATGTGGCTTGAGTCCATTCTTGCTTTTGTTTACTGCTTACCCAGCATGTCTAATACTGCCTATTTAAATCTGTAATTAGCATGTTTCCACTTTACTTGCTTGTTTGTCATCTTGTTTAACATGTCTACATATGAAACTAAGCTTGTTTGACTGACTACTTTTTATCTCGCATGCCTAAACTCTGTTTCTACGTAATTAGCATGCCTTCACTTGTTAATACTTGACCAACATGCCCATTTAAGTCCTTGCCTGATCTGCTAAGTTAGTTAATCTCCCTAGAGTGGCCCTAGTTGTGTTGTCCTCAACCTATCTTTGTTGTGGTCCTTTGCTGCATGACCTGCTTCTACCTAACCTACTAGTTCTACAAAACCCCCTCAAAAATCTATGTATCCTGTTGTTTATGTGCCCCCTCAAGGTGTACTCTTTATGTTCCCAATCCCCCTTCCCTTGTGTGAAAGTTGTTTGCCAAAGTATTTCCTAAAGCTTGTTTGTTCTATGATTTGTGTTCTGATTGCAAATTATTTCTTACACTTTCCTCAAACTGTTTTTATCACTAAATTAGTATTGGTTTTCATAAATTCTTTTTCAATCCTAAGACCTTTATTTATAATGTCCATTAAACTCTTACAAACCCTTATGCACTTTCACTTACTTCTAGATTATTAAGTCTCGCCCCTCTGGAATGTGTACTACTTAGAGACCCTTGAGATCTCTCTGAACTCTGGCATATCAGGGCTGACACTTCCATACTGCACATAAATCAGTTATTATTTGAGAAAGGTCTAGGTGTGAGCACTGCTCGGGATCCTTGAGGTTCTTAGGGAACTCTAACACACCTAGACATGAAATTGACCATGGAACTTTGGGAATTTGAGACTAATGAAAGCTTTGGAAACTACTTTGGGCCTACTTCAGGCTCCCTATAGATTAATGTATTTGTACTTATGTAATTTATGTAATTTTTGGTCTGTAATAATTAATTGTAAACAAACAGTGGGGTGACTAGTAAAAAGGGAGGGTAGTTATATGATGTGGGTAAAGTTGGGTAGATACCATGCTTATAGAGTCCATGTTGATTCAAATGCGTTTGTTAGATAATATAGGTATAGGATCTACTTTGGTTTAAATAAATTCTGCATTCTTTACTTTCATACAATTAGAAGTCATGCCTATAGGATCCAAATCAACTTTATAATTAGATGTCATGCCTATAGGGTGTAAAGTATTGAAGTTCAGTTTCCATTACAACATGCATTCAAATTCGTTTCCTTAGAAATCATGCCTATAGGATTAAAATCAGCTTTAATAGAAATCATGCCTATAGGGGTTTCACTTTGGTCAAATGAATTCTGCTTGCTTCACATTATGTTTGATTAGAAATAATGCCTATAGGACTTAAAACCAGTTTGGTTAGAAAATCAGTTTAATTCATGTTTATTCTGAATCGATTTAGTTAATTAATCTGTCCGCTCCTTTAATAAGTTTTCAACGCCGCATTAATTAATATTACTAGAGAACATGCCTATAGGATCCAAATTATCCGTTTAAAATTGTTTACTGTTTTACTGCATTCCTAATCAATAATAGATACCACGTTCATAGGATATCACTATTATATGTCTAGGCAAGCCTATAGAGAGCTTAAAATCCTGTAACTGTAAAACTATGTTCTGTTATCTGTTAATGCTCACATTCAAACAGGTCTAAAATCAGTAGGCAAGCTGAATAGGTCTTTGACACTTTGGTCCTAATTCAATATTGTATAATCTCCGCTCACCTAGATATCATGTTCTAAGGTGTTCTCCTAAATACTTGAAACTATTGTTTGAGACGTGCACTTACTTGTTATGTTTGTGGAGGTAAATATGAGCTTTTAATTGTTCTCCTTAATGCAGTCCTAACTATTTTGATTGACGCCTAGATTTTTCTCCTTTAAGTACCTTAGGATGGTCTAGAACTACCTAAATTAGAGGTCCTAAATACCTCCAGTGTCACAAGGAAGGGACGGGTAGTGCACGCATAGGATATCTTTCAAGGTTGCTAGAACGCTTTAGGCTATGACCAAGGGGATGGAACTGGGTAGTAAGGATATGATGACTATGCACTAATGTCACGTATAGCCCCTCATTGAGGAGTGATTACCGGGCATTGTGTGGGTATGATCCTGTAGGCTAAACAACCTAGGACCCCTTTTCCCAACTCCTGTTGTTTAAATAAATTTACTTGTCTTTATATATGTGCAACTTGTTTAAGCCTTTTCCCTTGTTTCATTACTTGAATCATACATGTGCTTAGAATGTCAAAACATACCTTTACTTGCAAGTACGTGTTACAACTGTCTATTTGTTAAAATAACTAATTCACATAGTTTAAGTTCGGCTGGGACACACCGTTGTGGACCGCGAGGGGTGCCTAACACCTTTCCCTCAAGGTTATTTCGAGCCCTTAACCTAAATCTCTGGTAATACAAACTAGTCCATGAGTTAATTGCTCAAGGTTCCCTAACACACCATAATCCGTTAGATGACGACTCTTCAAGACACCTACGTATCATGACGCCGCATGAATCAGATCTTTGCGTAGTTCGGAAAAATTAGGAATAAAGTAAATAAAGGAAGATTAGGAATAAAGTAAAAAAACTAACTTTTTTTTGGGGTTTTGGACTTTTTCGAAAGAAAAACTTAAAAAGAAGAAACAAAATATTTTTGGATTGCGATTTGTTTGTTTGTTTGTTTTTTAAATTTTGAAAAGAATGACTTCTAAAGAAGAAAGAAAATATTTTTTTTGAATTTCGACTTTTTTTTGTCCTTTTTTTGGAATTTCGAAAGAAAAACTTCTAAAGAAGAAAGGAAATATTTTTGGATTTTTGGAACTTTATTTTGAATTTATGAAAGAAATGCTTCTAAAGAGAAACAAAATATTTTTAAATCTTAAATTTTCTTTTCAATTTTTGAAAGAAGAATGAAAATATTTTTGGATTTTGAGAAGAAATTAAAAGAAAATATTTTTGTATTTTTTGAAAATTGGGGTCTAAAAGAAAGACTTTCTAAAGAAGCAAGTAATGAAAAATATATTTGGATTTATTTTTAAATTGTGGGTCGGAACCGATGAGTTTTGCCTACGTATCTCACATTCGGTGAGAATCAGACCCGCGTAGCTCAGCCAGTTTTAACATAATTGAAAAAAATATAATATTGACTCACTTTTATTTTTTGAAATACATTTTCTTTTCATTTTTTTTCAAAAAATTTGGCAGAGTTTCGAGGCATTTTCAGATACCGAGATTTTCATAACCGGGTGAATTCTCTATCCTAACCTCACTCTCAGATTTTCTGTTATTTTTCTTTCCTTAGCCGGTCTGCATACAAGCCGAAGCAAATAAATATACAAATAACACGTAAGATGCATTAGGATGGTCTTTCATTTCGGGTACACCTATCCAAGACAGACCTAACCCTTGTGTTGAGTCCCCAAAGTCAAATGCACGTGATGCAAACAAACGTTCCTACTAGGGATCCGGCATGAGTTTATGGTATTCTAGGTTTAAACCTGGGGTTGTGTTCTAGACCTGGCTTACCCAAGCGGACAACTTGAGTCGAGGTGTGAGCGACATACCGGGAACACGAAAGTCTACCTGGCCTAGTGGCTGATCCATCCTCGTTCTATTTGGTACGACCTTTACAGAAAAGCGGGCCACGCGAACGTGTGCACCATTTTTAGAAGACTCAGAAGGGAGACATAAGAAGACAGTTTGATACCGTTCAAATAATATTAAAGCAGTAAATAAGCGGCAATTAGCACGTTAGGCCACAAAAATACAGTAATATCAACAATAAATAAAGCCAAGTAAAAATCACAATAACAAACTCGAATTCTTGAACCCTGAACCAGAGATTTTGAGTTCTATTCCCCAGCGGAGTCGCCAGAGCTGTCACACCTCCTTTTTACCCGAAAATGGTATAAGAAATTTTTCCAATTAACGTGACAAAATCGAAATGTGATTATTTGTTTTAAATTTAGAGTCACCACTTGGGATAGTTTATGGTGTCCCAAGTCACCGATTTATTTTATATCCCAAATCGAGAAAATTGACTCTATTTATGGTCTGTGAACACAGAAGATCGGGTAAGAAATTTTGTTAGCTCGGGAGAAGGTGTTAGACATTTCCGGGTTCTGTGGTTTTAGCATGGCCGCTTTAATCATACCTGGCTTAATTAAATCGTTTTAATTACGTATTAGAACCTATGTGCATTTACCCTTCTAAATTATTTTAAATGCTTGATTATTAGTAATACGGAATTATCTTAAAACGAGTCACGCGTACGTGTACTTATTTTGTTCGGCGCGTTAGAATTATGTCACGCGTACATGTACACAATTAATCACATTTTGTTAATATTAAAAATATTTGGCCGAAGTTGCACGAACGCATACCTCGATTTATTTTGAAAATAAAGAGAAAATGAATGTGCACCTCTGGATAACAAAAGATCGTATCAAACTTTGACAAAAAAAAGGTTAGCATGAGATACCGACAAAAACATGTGGCTAAAGCAAAATTAGAAGATAATGTTCTATCATTTCTCTTCAAAAGTGCGCAACTTTTCATATTCGTCCATCGAGATGTATGAAAATAGAGCTCCTAATAGTCAAAGGTAAGGTTCATCGGGAACAAAAAAGCAACGTACTTGTCCTGGATAGTAAAACAGGAGTTAATACATTCCATCTTGGTAATCCTTTCCCCTCTTATATTTATTTAATTATTTATTTATTATTCTAGTTTATTTCCATCAAAAACTTTTCAGTTTTTGCTACTGTTA